GGAAACCCTGTACAGGGTCGCTATGGGTCGGAACCGACTCGACGGCACTTAACAACAACAACAACAACAAGACTACTAATAAAGAGGTTGGTGGTTCAAACCCATCCAGAAGCACTTCAGAAGACAATCTTGTGACAAAGGTCACAGCCTTGAAAACCTACCGGCATGGGATTGCCACAAAAGGAGAGATTGCCACAAAAGGGATTGCCATCAAGAGACAGAATAAACCACGCTCTTCCAAATCTCAAGTTTTTTCTACTGCAGGATGGTATTTCTTAATAAAAATAAGACATCATTCTTAAGGACAAAAAGAAATATTAAAAATTAATATCTTCACCTGTTTGGTACTCACTGGGCCAAATCGTAAGTAGACTGGGGAGCGGGTGGGGGCTGCAGACAGCACTGGCTTATTTGTAAGCGCAAAACTCTTGACATACTTCCAAACACGAAAACTTGAAGAGTTTTAAGCTACCAAAAACCAACTAAGAATCCACCATCCACCGTCAGTATTCTTTTTGTCACTGTCTTTATTCAATTTTCAACTCCTCTATCTTTTTTACACACCTTCTTACCTCTCCCAAATTCCAGAAGGTAACACACCATACTCAGCTAGCTCCCTAATTTCCCATTATCTCCCACATTTTCCCATCACTACATCTTGACACTACACTTTTTCTATAGCCAACTCTATAGCTTTTTATACAAAATCCAATCCTCACACCCCAAATCCTAACCCCTCCCTTCCTCCACTCCCAGCTCCCTCCTTAAACCTCCTACCCTTCTAATCCTTCCTTGCCAGCTCAATCCCACTGACCTCCCCTACCCTTCCCGCACCATTCCACTCCCCCTGCGCCCCCATTCTCCACCTCATCCTTCACCATCTACTCTTCCCTTCCCCCACTCTAGGCTTCCCTCCCCCCAGGATCCCAATCTCTCAATTCCTTCTGTCTTCAGTCCTCAACCTTCAAAATCCCCTTCTTGGCCTAATCTCACCTTCCCCAACTTTACAATTCAAAGCCCCAACTTCTTTCTTGCCTACCCCTAGGGACCTCAAACCTAGCTCCTTCCTTTCCTTTCCTCCATGCACCCCTCAAATCCCACTCCCTTCCCCACTACTGCAATTCCCCATTCTTATCTCAATTCCCACGCATGCCCCTCCCCGATCCCAATCCCGACCCTTCTTCCACTCAAGCCCCCAACCCCGATTCTCAAAAACTACCTCCCCTTTGCATCCTGACCCCACCCTTAAACCCATCCTCCCACACCCGAATTTCCTCATCCTCACACCCCTCTCCCAATCCCCCCCACTATCTCCCACTCTGCAGGTTCTTCACGCCTTCCCCTCCCCCATTCCGCCCCCCTCATGCCCCTCCTCCGCCCCCACCCGCAATCCCGGGCTCCGTGAACGGCCCTGCCCCGGCCACCACCTACCTGTGTCCCTGCCCGAGGAAGCGAGAAGCTCCTCGGTAGCAACTCCCTCCACCCGCGGCTCAGCAGAGCGGAAGCGCCTTGGAGCCCCGGGCACAATGCTAGGGAGGGTGGGACCGAGAGAGTGGGGAAGGCGGGAGGGGGGATTGGGGCGACCTGGCGCCGAGCTACCGCGGGAGGGGGGGGCGGGGCAAAGGAGGCGCGCTTGCGCGAGTCCCAGCATGGGGGGCGGGGTCGAATCTGCAGGCGGGCTGTGGTTAAGGCAAGCGACCTGAGGGCTGAGGACTCCAGAGTCGGAAAAGGTGGGTAGTGCGCGTGCGTGCTCTTGTGAAGGCGGATTCCCTGGGTCCTCCGAGTTGTAGTGTTAAGAGCTTGACTAAGGGAGGCTAGGTAGCGCATGTACAGGCATTTTCCAGGGCAAGGCCCTTAGGCGGGATTGGGCAGCAGAGCTCGCTAAGTAAAGAAGAAAGAGGAGGAGGCGGCGGGGTCGGGGCCCGTGTGCTGAGTTGGGCGTAGAGTCTGGAGTAGAGAACTCCTTTGAGGCCGAAGGGTTTGGGGGGAGGAGCCTGAGATCGCTGCGCCAAGCGGGGCGGGGCAGAAGAGAGACTTCGCACTGGGATCTTCTGTGAACCGGCAGTAACTGGAGGCCCAGGCGAGCGGGTTGCGGACCCTGGGTTGGGTAGCCTATGCGGGGGCGGTGGGAACTCGGCTGGACGAGGGAGAGCTCGTGGTGAAGGTAGAGAGTGACAGTTGTGTGGAGACGCCTGGGGCGTAGGCTCGTGAGGATATCTACGAGCGGGAAGTCAGATGCAGGTCTGCACTATCCTCTTAGGCCCTGGTTTGAATAGTGCATTGCCCAAACTTTTTGAGGCCTGGACAATAGTGTTTTTAACCCCCAAAAGGGAAAACAATTGCAAATAGAAATATATAAAACTACCAAACTGTAACATGTAAGTTGTAATTTAGCTTGTATAGTTATGATACCCCACCAGTTGCAGTGGATTCCAACTTTTAGCGAATTTATAGGACAGAGTAGAATTGCCCAGAGGGTTTCCAAGGCCATAAATCATTGCTGAAGCAGATTGCCTCAGCTTTCTCTCATAGAACGTCTTTTTTGTTAGCAGCCAAGCACACACACATTGCTCCAGGAGGGCTCCATAGAGTTATCAATTATAGTTAATATAGGATGTGAATCGGAGATTTTTAAGTGGACTGAGAAGGGTTTGTTTCTCTGAACAGTTTTAAGCACTTATTATATAGTATAGTAACGAAAATCCACCTCAGTGGGCTTTAGATCTTTTTGAATGCTACTTCTGTCATCTAGTATTAGCTGACATCCAAGCTATGTGTCATCTGCCAAATTGACAAGCATACTTTTTGTGTCCTTACTAAGAATGTACTTATATAAGTGAATAAGAAAATATCAGAATAAGAGAATACCAGAAAGATGTTTGCTTGTGCTTTATTGACTATGCAAAAGCTTTCACTTGTGGGGATCATGACAAGCTATGGACAACATTGCAAAGTATAATATTCTGGAACACTTGATTGTACTCATGAGGAACTGTACATGGACCAAGAGATGGTTTTTGAACAGTACAAGGAAACACCGAATGGTTTAAAATTAGAAAAGGTGTGTGACATGGTTGTATTCTTTCATTATACTTAATTGCTCTGTATTCTGAGCACATATTCGAGAAGCTGTGTTATGTGAAGAAAAACATGGCGTCAGGATGGAGGAAGATTCATTGGTGGTGGTGGGCCATGGAGTCGGTTCCAACTCATAGTGACCCCACATAGGGTTTCCAAGGCTGTAAATCTTTTATGGGAGCAGAAAGCCTCATCTTTCTCCCGTGAAACAGCTGGTAGTTTCGAACTGCTGTCCTTCAGGTTCGCAGCCCAACTTGTAACCACTATGCTACCAGAGCACCTACAATACACAGATGATACAACCTTGCTTGCTGAAAGCAAAGAGGAGTTAAAATGCTTACTGGTGAATCAGATCAAAGACCACAGCCTTCGGTATGGATTGCACCTTAATGTAAAGAAAACAAATACCCTCACCACTGGACCAATAAACAACATTCTTATCAACAGGGAAAAGATTGAAGTTGTCAAAGACTTCATTTTGCTCAGATAAACCATTAACAGTCATGGAATCAGCAGTCAAGATATCAAACAACATACTGCATTAGGCAAATCTGCTGTACAAGACCTTTTTTGTTCAAGAGCAAAGATGTCAGTTTGACTAAGATGTGCCTGACCCAAGCCATGTAGCTTCGTATGGATGTGAAAGTTGGACAATGAATAAGAAAGATCATAGAAGAAATAATGCATTTGAGTTATGGTGTTAGAGAAGAATATTGGAAGTCCCACGGACTGCCAGACAAACCAACAAATCTGTGTTGTAAGAAGTAAGCCAGAATGCTCCTTAGAAGTAGGATAGCAAGACTTCCTCACACATACTTCAGACACTTTACCAGACAGCCTAGGAAGAAAGAGTGACAAACTATTTCCGAATATTTAGTCACTGAAAACCTTATGAATAGCAGAGAAGCGCTGTCAGATATAGTGCCGGAAAATGAGCCCCTCGGGTTGGAAGGCTCTCAAACTCAAGTGTGACAACAATAATGAGGTTGGCCCAGGATCTGGCAGTGTTTCATTCTGCTGTGCAAAGCGTCACTATGAGTCAGTACTGACTCGATGGCACCTAACAACAACAACAAAAGCAGTCCCTGAAGAAAGACTTTATGCTTAGTAAAGTGGAGGGTCAGCAAAAAAGAGAAAGATCCCCAAGAAGATGGATTGGCAGAGCAGCAACAGCAATGGGCTCCAGCATAATTAACAATTGTAAGGATGGCACAGGGTCAGGCAGCTTTTCTTTGTGTTGTTCATAGGGTTGGTAGTGTCCACGCTGACTTGAGTTTTATCCCTGGGCAAATGCTGCCCTGTTGATCTCATGTGGTTGACTGTTCTAAGGAGTGTGTATCTCCTTGGTATTGGTCATCTTTTAGACCTGTCTACCATTTAGCTGAAAGTTGAGCAATGAGTGTGGATTCAGTTCCAGGCTTAAAGGGGGAACTAAGGACCATGGTCTTGGAGGTGGAGGAGTAGTTCCAAATTTTTACCACTTTGTTGTCAGTATTTTCAAGATCATCATTTTAATAATGAAATTTTAATGATTTATAGAATTAGAAGAGCAGTAACATCCCAATTTAGCTATCTGTATATTCAGGAATTCAAACTAACAGTTAACAATGTTCACCCATCACCAGTTCTGTAGTATTGATAGTATTAAAAGCAAAGGTAAGATCAGTCAACAACAATGGCACAAATAAACAGCATTAGAATATAGGCCATTTTTGTGCCAATGTTAACTCATTTTTTATACTCTATTATTTTTTATTTTGATGAACTATAACAAAGCATTCACCATTTCAGTCATTTTTACAGTTCAGTGACATTATGTTTCCAGTGTTGTTCAGTCCGTTTTCAAAAATTTCACCATCCTTTACAAAAACTTGGTTGTACTTAAAGCAATACAGGTATCTCCAATATGTAATGGGGTTCTGTTCTGACAACTCTGTTGTCAGTTCTGATATAAGTTGAAGATTAATTTTCATCCTTAGATTTCATTATTATTGCCTTTTATTGTCAGTATCTGTATAAATTCAATCTTTGTCTTTGGTGGTCAGAAACATTGCATATCAACTTAACACAAATCATAAAAATTTACTCAGACCAAAAAGAAGAGTTGTACAACCATTGACATTTTGTCAGTTGCAGTAATAACTCCCCCTGTGGAAGGTTCTGGATTATCTGGATTATCCCTGGGGAAGGAATGGCATTTCTAGACAAAAATTAACAAGAGTTGTTGTATAGTCCTCTTTTTTCTTCATTTATTTCATTGCTTTTAAAATCTACTGACTTGAGCAAAGCAATAATGTTTTCAAGCAACTAAAGCCCCTGATTTAGAAAAAACTTCAGCTAACTCTGTAAGTAAATATTGGAGACTGTTAACATCAACAAGCTATGCACCGCAACATTGTAATACATATTACTAATGTGAAATTTACAATAAGAACAAAAAGATATGGTTATAAATGCTATTCCTCAAAACTGGAATACATGATAAGTCTGAGACTACCTGTACTTCCCCATTTCCCACCTGCCCCTGTTAGGTAACCACTAATATATTTTGATTATTCTGGATATTTTCTATATAAGTGGGATCATAACATTTACCCTTTTATAACTGTCTGGTTTCCCTCACTCAACATAATGTGTTCAGGGTTTATCCAGAACTTTAATTTTCTTTATGGCTGAATATTCCGCTGTATGTCTATATCATATTTCATTTATCCATTAATCTGTTGATGGACACACTAGTTGTTTCCCTTTTTTTGAATATTGTGATGAATGCTACAGTGAACATTGGTGTACAGGTATCTGTTTGATTCTCTGCTTTCAATTCTTTTGTACATATACCTAGGAGTAGAGTTGCTGAGTCATATGATGGTTCTATATTTAACTTTTTGAGAAGCCGCTCACCATACTAGTCTCCACAGTGGTGGTAGTGGTGGTGGTGTGCCGTCTGACTCATAGCAACCCTGTATAGGATTTCTGAGGCTGTAAATCTTTACGGGAGCAGAAAGCCTCATCTTTCTCCCACTGAATGGCTGGTGGTTTCGAACCTTGAGCCTGACTCATAACCACTACGCTACCAGAGTTTCTTGCCCCATTTTATAGTTTCACCAGCAATGTATTGAGGATTCCAATTTCTGCACATCCTCACCAAGAATTGTTTTATATTTAAAAAAGTGATTCAGAACAACCAGTAGTTATTTGCAACACCCTCAAGTAAATCCTCTCAGCCTTTTTTTTCCCTCACATATGAAAATAAACTTGGCTAGTGTTTGCTTCTCAGGAGATGGCTCTTTGTTTCAGAATATTGAAAATGCTTGTCATCATAGGCAGATACTAGGCAGTTATCTGTTCAGCCAAGACTGCAGCTTAGTTTTAGCTAAGAATGAGGCAGAAAACGTATCTGAAGTATGGCATAGCCAGCAATATGGATTTTGTATTCATGCAGATGCAATTTGAGTCCTGAATTGGCTATTTACTAAGTCTGTAACCATTGGTGATTTAACTTCCTTATGTATTACCACAGCTCTAATACT